GAGCTTTCCTTTTTACTCCCCTCACTTCTCCTTTCTTTTGTGTTGTGTGAGATGCAGCTCCCCGGTGAGTGAGAGGGAATTTCAAAGCGCCCATGGAGGAGAGATGAGCTTCACAGATAAGCAGTCCAGGTGAGAGAGAGCTAATCCTGTTGTTACGCCTCGCAGGCACACAACACAAGTGAGATTTGGTAACTGTTTGGCGAGACCAACGGCGAACCTTTGTCAGTTTTCCCCCTCTCTTTCACCATCCGCAGCTCTTCAGACCCGAGTGGTGGTCGATACTGTGTACAAAACTTGTGGTTATAATTGGGGAAAAAATGGCTTTAAAATGTTGAGCCGAGAATTACACAAACATTATGAATAATGCAGCAAGAGGAATTGTGATATTTCTGAACTATTCCACACAATGCTGGAGGAGATTTTAAAAAAAAGAACATAAATCCACCAGAAACATAAAATCCAATCAATGTTTTCTTAAAGAAGCTGATAGCTAAAGCTGATATTTGATATTCTGCAGGCAGTTACTCCACACTGACCTACGCTCGCAGTCGATAAAGCCCCACTCCCCCCCTCGCTCCCTGCGCTCTGCCAGCTGTGCTCTGGGCATACTGAACCTTATTCTGGGTAACATGATCACCACCAGGGTGGCACTCACGGCAAGGGAGCATCTGCTGTGGGAATGTGGAAGCAGGACAACTGTGTCCCAGTCACATGTTATTATGTGTGATGAGCAGCGAAACTGTGTAGCGCATGACCGCCGCTGCTGAATGGCAGAGGAACGCCAGCATTTCTTCCTTTAACTGCTGACACAGTCACATTTTGAGAAATCAATGTGGTTTGCATGACTGCTTGTCAGCATATTTTTCAAGGCTAATGAAATTCCAACATGTCACTGCATCACAGGACTAGTCCTGCGCATGGATTGCTACAGCTTGTTTTCACTCTGCTGCCGATCCGGCCTCTGTCCACCAACATCGCTCGACGCCAAAGTCATTTGGCACCTCTCCTTAGTTGTTGGTCAAAGTCCACAAAAAGCCCCGGACTCCTCCTCCATCTGAAACGGGCAACACTTTAGCTTTGTGCCAGTGTGAGCTCCCATCTGCTGTCCTGGCATTGCGCGTGCACGTGTAGATTAACTACCTCATCTCGCTGCATGCTGATCCCGGCCAAACCCGGAGCTTGCCCAAAACACGCCCATATGACCATTAGGGTATCTCTGGTGTGGCGTGGCCCAACGGAGGGGAGAGGTCAGACAGAGCCTCCCAGGAGAGTCACAATAGAGTGTGTTGTAATCTAAGCTCCGGGTTCATTCATAAAGCCTTCAGACTTACATGGCTTGCCTTTTTAAACACTTTTTATTGCTTTGTAACCTGAGACACAAACTTCAAACACACCAACAACAACTAGCTCCAGTTTCCTCACAGGTAAATGCAGTTAGAGAGGAGAAAAAAATGTATCCAGCCAAAAATCTGGCCAGGACAACTCTACCCACAATTCAGTGTGGCAGCATACCCCCCAATCCCCTGGAGGACATGATGTATTGGGCCACACTCCAGCAGCTGGGCTGGAGGTTTATGCAGGAAGTCGCAAACAAATTTAATTGTTTTTTTGGTTTTTTTTGCTCAGCACCCAAAAAGGCTTATGATTAATTATTCAGCGAGTCTTTCAGCGTCCCTGCAGTGAAAGCAACATCTGCCATTTATTTAAAGCACACCAACTCACTGGGAATCAAGTCACAAACACATTATGGTTTCATGTTTCCATTGGAGAGTCTTAGCGCACCTGCTGTTTACAAAATAGAGCATGAAAAAGTCTCATAGTAAAGGTTGTCATCCTTGGGTTTTTTAGCTTGCAGGAGCTTAACGAACGTACCGCAACAAATTAGCTCTTTGCCTCTTGTTCAAACCTGGAGAACAGGTTTTTGTGACTGAGTCTACATGCAGTAGCCTCTTCCCACTAGGTGCACAAAAGAGTTTTTCTAATCTAGGGTCTGTTAGTTTAAATGTTTTAATCATTATGACAAATTTTAAGAACTTCAGTTAAAAATATCTGTGACTCTTAGGACTTTTGTTCCTTGTTATTCTGGCTCTAACAAATGCTTTTCAGTTAAATATTGAGATGACCCTGTAAGAATACATGATGTAATTATATAAAGAGTGTAAGGTCATACTCAGATACCCCTTTATGTTGTCTAAAGGAACCCACATTTTTTAGTTTTAGGACTAAGGGTCCCTGATACCACTATAAACAGAAACAGAACGCAGTGATTTACAGATCCAATCTCTAAATACTGTCTCTTTTTTTTATTGAAAATTGCACAAACACAACAGGTCGAATGTTAAAACTGGGAGCTTCTTTTTAAATTTATTATTTTTAATAAAAGTATTTTGAAATAGCTGGACCAGGGCCCCTACTTCAGGAATCCGGTTCACCAAGATGAACTTAAAATATAAACGGAGTTGATTAACTCAAAGATCTGAACAGTTTCCTGTTCCTAAAAGGGCGATTGGAGTTCGTCCAATCAGCTGCTGAATACACTCACCTTGAGTTAAGCGTGTGCATGAGTAGAGAAAGAAAGCCATCATCAATGGGGGCCTGATACCATGATTCACCATGGCAACAGGTTTAAAAAAATAAATACCTACCTTAAATACCTTCATTTTAATCCAGAGGACTATGTGGCCACTCTGATGTCATCATAGATCAAATAAAAGTTTGATATTAAATGCTTAATTATTTTAAACAGTCTTTAAAACAAGAGTATCCCAAAGCAAGGCTATGTTAGGATGTGCAGCTAGAAAGGAAAAAGAAGCTAAAATAAACACAAGTTATCGTAGCCACTGGTGACCTCCAGGTTGCCTCTTTAGGTCCCCGTGCAGGTGCCAGATTCTTGTCTCTCAGCGACGAGCATTTATGTGTGCAACAAACAAACATAAACATAAATAAAAACCCAACCCAACTAGAGCTTATGAATGGGTAATGGCACAGTTATGAACTAATATTCAGGAGGTAATTTGTTCTAATCCCTTAGCAGCAGCTGCACGACGACTGCTGAAGAACAGCTACTGCAGGGATGAAGATGGCTCTCACACACAGAGGCAGACTCACTCCAAACCCCCGAAAACGGTCCGACTTATTTGTGCGTCAGCTATAAACACTTTATCCAATTTCTTTCAGCCATTTAGAAAAGAATCAAGTAAAGGGGAAACAGAAGTGACTGTAATCTCTCTCTTTCCCCCCTTTTGGTCAACAATGCCAAATTACAAAAATCAGTAATGATCAGTCGTTATATTAAATGTGTTCTCTCAAGCAAGTGAATTAAGAGAGAATTAAGATACAAAGCACACAAGCTGCTACAATGGGTAAACTGGATTTAACATAGTGACTCATCTACACAAAAGGATATAGCTGCACTTTTTAAAATCGTTGTTGTTGCCGTTTTTTAAGCAACTGGTTAAATTATGCAAGTTACTTGTGGGGTTCATCAGTGCATGGGAAACATCTGAACAATCTGAGAATAAATGTTCTTAACATAAATATGTATGCTTATAGATAAATAATAATAATAGTAATCACAGAATTTCATCATCTACAAGAAATGATAACATGAAACGATTAAGAGAAACCTGAGAATTTCTGACACCGAGCACAATAGCCAATAGTGAATGGCCATGATCTTCGCAAAAAGAGAGAGACCCAATTGTTAAGTAGAATTTTGTGCACTGAATCAGGAATATTTCACAGTTGGATCTGTTGTAAAGAACAATACAAATACAAAACATGATCCAGCTGCTGAACCCCTTTTTCCAAGCAAGAAATACAGAAACATTTTACTTTACAACATACAAAATGTGTCTCTTCAGTTCCTAAACTCTTACTTAGTGTTGCTGAAAAAGGTGATGCAACACAATCATTATTACTTACATGCAGCACACAAGTAAATAATGATTTTCATGATCTGAACATGGATCCACATAGAGAGCTTTGTACATAATTTAATACTATACTAAGCGTGTGTTAACACTATGACAGTCTGGGAGTCAAATTCATCCCAAGGACCATGCTATGCTCAAAGAAACTAAAAACCCAAGAGCTACATCTCAGACGCTACAGGCCTCAGTTAGCATGTTAAATCTTAAAGTTCATGACAATCCTTTTTCTTTTTAAATGACTGAACAAGTCATTGAAAGTTTTTCCAAAAGAAAGCGTCTCCTAACTAAAAAGGATATGACAACACAGTTTAGGTTTGCAAAAGTGCATCTGAATAAGTTACAAGCTTTCTGGAAAAATGACCTTTGGACAGACGAGACCAAACTAGAGATGTCGGCACAGCACCAAGTTTGGGAAAAACCAAACGCAGCAAATCAGTAAAAACACCTCATACCAACTGTCAAGCATGGTGGTAGAAAGATGATGATTTGGACTCACTTTGCAGCTAAAGGACTGATGCACATTACAATCATTGAGTCGACCACAAACTCCTCTGTATACAAAATTATTCTACACAATGATCCCAAGCACACCACTAAAGGTTCATGAGAGTGGCTAAACAAAAAGAAAAAGATCAAGGTGTTGCACGTCCAAACAGAGCCCGACTGAAATGCTGTGGTGGGACTTTAAGAGAGCTGTGCATACATGACTGCCTGTAAACCTCAGTGAACTGAAGCAACTTCCATCAGTCATACAGACAAGCATACAGAATGAGCACTTTACGTTGGTGTAGAAGCACCTTTAGCAGCAAACTACTGAGTCATGCAGTGTGTTTAGCTTTTCACAGGACTGTGGAGAGTCGTGTGAAAACTTTCTTTGACTGTAAATAGGTGGCATGCATCTTCTCATCTAACCCCTGGCAAGAGGCTGAATAAGTTTCTCTTATTTCCTGAAACCATTTCTTTGAAACAGACTTCAAACAGCAGTAGCAGTGAACCAGACTGAAAAAACTCAAATCGCTGTTTTGGTACCGAGGCTGGGAGAAGAAATACTGACGAAGCACAAAAGACTTATTTTTACAACTACATTTATTTAAAAAAAAAAAAAACAAAAAAAGCGCCCAATGTCTCACCAGGGATGAGACAGTTCATGGAGAGAGACAGTTTTTAAAAGCATACAAACCAGCAAACTGTTAATCTAGCAGCATCCAAATGTTGGAATCTCCAAAATCATCATTTATATATTTAAATATATAGTTTTGTTGTTGTTTTTCTTTTTTTTTTTTGCCCCGGCAAGCTACACACTTTACAACATACACAGAGCTTCATCTCTCCTTAGTGGAGAAAAACAAAAAACAAAAAACAAAACAAAACAAATACCCTTAATAAAATAAACAACTTTAGGTTAAATAAGCTTAAATAATAGTGTTAAATACAAGACACTTCTGTGGCAGGTATGTACAGAAAATAAACACATTTGGCATTGTAAGTGTGGTTCACTGGCGCTTGCTCTAATGCTCTAGAAACCACTGCATAAGAACACATTTTCCTGTGATAAACTACACACACACTCACACTCACACAAACTCTCTCTCTCTGACACACACACACATTTTTTTTTTTTTCTATCAGTGAGCCACAGACAAGGCGTGTGTTTACAAAAAGGACTAAAAGCAAAGGGAAACAATCCACCGACAACCAAGAGTTTTAGGCACAGTCTCTTCCTTGTTTCATAAATACACGTCAAATACAACTGCGACTCGACAGGAACTCTTTACGCTTGTGGTAACTTCTTTTAAAAAACGAAAAATTTAAATAAAAAAAACAAAACACAGTTTTGTAACTACCACTTTGTTATTGCTAGGACATTGTGACAGTGAAGGGAAACTAGTGACAAATGTGCGTAGGGAAAAGCACCTTTAAAACATCAAAATTACTGCCATGTGACCCTACATTACAACACAGAGGAAAGGAAAATGTGGAATTCATCAGAAACAAAACAAAAACAAAGAAACAAAAAGTCTGGAAAAACAGCAAACCTCAAAACTTTTGCGACTTTGGAAACCAGAAAGCAGGAGAAGAAAGAAAAAAGAAAGATCTCAGTTGAGCTACATTCATTTCCCCCCCCCTCCCCGCCGTACGTTTCAAGAGCGCCACATGTGGATTCCTCTTGGTGCAAGCGGACAGTAAGTACCACTTCATTATGTCCAGTACATTCCTCCCCTCCTCCCTCTCGCCTCGCCCCTCTATACTTTCCTGTGTCCGTGACGGCCGGCACAGAAACAGCTGTGTGACAGTGTGTGCAGTATGATACAGTACGGCTGAGTATACAGTACAGTAGACCGATGCGACATACGTAGGTAGGTAGATTATATGTTCACTACAGTAAATGAGCTTTACATTCCTCTACTGTAAGAAGATCCCGTGGACAGGCGGGGCCCTGGGTCGTCTTTCTTGATTCCTCTTTAGTGCTGGAGATGGAGGTGGGGGTGGTGTTTCCCCAAGAGCCTCGTTCACCAGTTAAATCAGACACGACCCTGCGCTTCAGACAGAGGACGATCCCAAAAGTAAAAGTCCAGATCGGGGTTTCAGGTTTCTCACCCAGGACTGCACAATAGTCTCCTAAACATGGGGTTGTTTGAAAGCGTCTTGATTACTCTTGGGGGCTGGTAATGGTTTGTTTTATAGTTTGTTTGCCTGTGGATCCTCTGGGAGTCTTAAGTAGGAGTAGAGTGGGTGCCCGTGAGGAATAAAGGCCATCATGCTTTCTCTCTCCCTCTCTCGCTCTCTGTGTCTTAGGGTTTCTTGTCAATGGTGTGAAAAAACCACTCTGTGAACTTCCTGAGCTGCGCCGCTGCGGTCTGGCTCTCCTCCTGCAGTCGCATGTTGTCCTGTCTCAGGTGCTGCACCTCTTCCTGTAGCATCGCCTTATCCTCTTTCTCCTGAAAACAGGGCACACACACACACACGCACGTGAACACACGCAATCAACGCGAAACACATGAGGCAAAAAATAAATGGATACAAAAGAGGCTGATAAAAGCCCCGCTATTACAAGAACATCCGTCTTTCGTCAGCGTGGTGTAAATGGGAGGCATTAACATGGCAAAGCAGCCCTTCCTCTGTTCTGATAAAAGCGCATTTCCTCTCTCCATTTTAAGCACATTAGTGTAGGTGGGGAAACGTTGGGCTGGGACACAATAAGAAAAGGAAGCGGGATATTGAATTAAGTGGATGAGTTTGTATTACACAGACCTCGGGGCACGCATTACTCAGTGTCTGTTCATCTGAGCTGTGGGACACCGACATGCGTCGTTTGCTAATGTGCGAAAGGAGCGCACCAAGGTGACAAAAACATAATCGACAAAAGGATGACGCGGACTCACCTTTCTGAGGTCGTGCTGCAGCTGCCTCAGGATCACCTCTAACTGGTTGACTTTGCCAGTGAGTGTGGAGGGGGAGCTGTTTGCGGGGTAACACAGAAGAGGACGGTGCCAAGAGTCATTTATTTACACAAAATGAAACAATGACAGTTTAGCTAACAGTCAATATTCACTTAGTTCTTGTGTGTGTGTCAGTGAAGCTTACTCTGCTCCCAGCGCCGCTCCTTCCGCCTCCACCACCCGTCTGGTCAGCTCTCTCGAGATCTGCAGAGCCTCGACCCGCTGCATGTCAGTCATGGTGCAGAAGGACGCCACGCGCTGGTCTGGGAAAAGAACAGGTGAAGTAATGGGTCATAATCTGCCTTTGACATCAAGAACAGGAAATCTGTTAAACTAAAACAGAACAGATAAACACACTCGCACAGGCATTCCCGAGTGGATGGGACGATTCATTCATGGCTTGTATGAATGGATGGCTCTGGTTTAGTGCACTTGCAAAAGCAGTCCTGCCTTGCTGAGAGATCTATAACCGGACAGCAGGGAACAAGGTAGTAAACAGAGCATTTCGAGACTACTACAGATAAAGTCAGTCCCTGGGGCGTTGCTCCAGTGCCCTCACCCCTCCAAGTTTCCTCTGACAGCTGTTTGGCTCATAATGGGCTGGATCCCAGGGAGCTGTAAGACACCAGTCATGCTTGTTTTACCATATCAGGCCCTTAAGCTTTGTCAAAGCTCCATGGAAAACCCAAACTTGGCATGTTACCCTTAGGGGCTGCTCAGTTTTAAGGCCTAATGCTTGTTTCTTTAGAAACCTGTCTTTCTCAAGCCCTTATCTGAGGCTAAAGATGGGGGGGGAGGGGAGGGGGGGTGTTCTGCATATTCATAGAAAAAGATTAAGGAAACCCTTCCATTAATTTAGCCCCAAATGAAAGCTAATCCACTCGAAGACAAAAGCTGGCCGAGCCCGAAGTTGGTTTTTCAGATGAGTCGGGGACGGGAGAGCAAGTCTTCATTTGCATATGAATGAACATCTTCCTTCATATTCGATGGCTGCATCAGAAAGATTAAAGACTTCTAGGAAAAGCGGAGACAAGTGCAGAAAAGCAGCTTGCCGTTTTTGTGTGACCAGGGGTTCATACTTACTGGACAGAAAGACAGATTACAGAGAAGAGAATCTATGCGAATGCACAATGCATGCGAGAGCATTCAGCGACTGCACCAACATGCTTTGTTGTTCAAATCTCCAAAAAAAAAAAAAAAACCCAATTTCAACTCCAACCGCCGCCTCCTGCAAAAAGCAAAAAAAACAAAAGAAGTTTTGGTTTTTCAAGTTGGTTGGTTTTTTAAAATAGTGCAAGCCAATCCAAACTGTCTTTTTGCATCATAAAAATGAGCCGTCTCTCAGGATCCACATGACTAAGGGTTATGAATGCCGTGAATGCTTTACATCTAAGCCAGCCTCTTTCCCCACTGGCTCTAAACAAAGCTGGTTAAACATACATGACACAATGGCAGCCCCGAGCCACTTTCTGCTCGGCAACAAGGCACCTAGTTTACACAGCGTTTTTTTTCTGGGCCAGCTCGGCTGCCGTGACAACTGCCTTGCCGCTGCCACTCAGACTCTGCATCAACTCAACTGATTCGTCTCTCGTTAAATGACAAGACTGCGGGCCGTGCGGCAAGAAATGCATCAAAGGAGAATCTCCACAAAAGACTTCATTAATTATGACAAACAAATGATTACATGCTATGTTGCCTGCTCACTGGTCCAGGGTCAAAGTGGAAAAAAAAAAAAAAAAAAAAAAAAAAATACTCATGGCATGTGCGCAGGTCTGTGATAAATGGGAAATACACCGGCATGAGACTGGTCCAAAAAAGGCATTTAAATTAGAAAAGAGATTATGATGCAAATGAGTGGTTTAAATGTACGATTGAGGGGGGGGGAAATAATCAGCTTTAAGTTTTTGACAGGAAGGCAACCTATAAGTCTACATGAAAGCTTCATATCTAAATCTCTTGTCCCAGAGCTGAATACCAACAAACCCCCCGAAATGGAAAAGTCTGTTTCTTTCAGAAGATCACATTCGGACCTGGTGGTCAAGAGGGGAGCATAAATGATCCCAAACTTAACAAACGAAACCTTAACCATAACAGAAAAGCAGCAACACTCTGAAAACCCGAATGATGACTGGCTGGCCTTATGGTGGGAAGATTAGCTCCATGTCAGTGCTGAGAAATGATGGCTTTGTTCTTAATAGGAAATTGCAAAGGGGCCCGGGGTAGAGGTGCAAAAAGCAGGAGGATTCCCAAAAGTAACCTCCGGAAGCACTTAGGAGCAACTAGAAGAAAACACATAGCTCACACAAATCTGCACATTCAAGCAAGCGGGCACTTGCAGATTACAAAACACACAGTCACACACGCTAAGCAGCCAGGAGGAGGGGGTGGGGAGTAGAAGTGGATTACACAAGGTGCCAGCAGCTTCATCCAGGCTGGTTACCTTCGAAGGCTCGTGCTGCATCAACCAGGTGAGACCAGTCCAGCCCAGAGGCAGTGTCAGGGAGGGGCATGAGGCCCGGGTCGCTGAACTTGGACCTGTCCGCCAAGGAGCCGTCAGAGAACCAAAACTCATCTGCAGAGACAGGCAGGCACGCCGATCAGTGTCTAGGCCTGGCCTGAGTTTAGGGCTAATCGTTGAGTCACCCATCAGTTTGCATCAGACAAAAGGGGTTAGGGGAAAGGAATGGGGAGGGGGGCGTGAGGGGGGGAAGCCAGAGAGACAATTTGAAGCGGGATGGCTTTTGTCTAGCCTAACTCCTGCCAAACGCCTAATCTATATTCGCTCATCTGGCGAAATCCTCCAGCAGGTTGGGAACCTTTTGAAAAGCCAAGTTCTGGATTTGTGTAACAGCATGATAGGCAAGAGTCACATTAAAACCACCTTCTCTGTGTGGCACTCGCGAGTCGCTGTCTGAGGGGCGATAAACGACTTGTCTAAGTGAATGTCTTCATGTTTCAATCAATAACTCCTTTCCCTCCCCTCTGTCCCTCCTGCCCTCCCCCCCTCTCAGCCCTGAAAGACAGAGAATGCAATAAACAAGCTCCCACTCTGCAGAGAGGTATTTAGAAAAGCATGAGTGGAGAAGCAGAGAAGAGACACAGAGAGCTTGAGGTGACGCTGACACTCTCCTTTCAATTTACCCAGCGTCTTGGAGCTTGAGTAATTCACTGTTTACCAAATTGGGGCTGCTTCAGTACGGGAAAGGGAGAGCCTGTGCTCTCAACTACCCTTCAAAACAATCAGGAATCCATCAGACTGACAGGCAGAAGAGGCCGAAGAGAAAAAAAAAAAAACATCTTTCCAAAAGCCATTTTCTATCTAAGGACAGCAGCGGGAGATGGGAAAGGGATGGTACGAAAATGAGACAGGAGGGACAGAGAGGGGTGGCTGGCAGGGACTGATGAGTGAATGAAACATTATGTATGACAGACATTGTGACATTCCTCATGGAAAAATAGGCATGTTCATGTCAGAGATCCTAAAGCAGCAGGCAGGACACATCACACCTCTCATCGCTAATACATATTCAGTGGATGCTGGGAGACAGTGGAGCAGGGAATATTAGCCAGCAGTGACAGGTGTCTGCTTAATGCAGACGGAGCGGCAGGTCCCTTGCAAGTAGCGAGCAGCCTCACCCATTTCCAATTAGATAGCTATATTGAGGAGTGCTGCTGGAGTGTGTACCAGTTGTGCTTATGATATCAGCAAGGACTCAAGTGGCTCTTTGAACGAGTCTCGATATCCTGGCTCTTATCCGGTGCCAGAGAAGAGGATTGATAATCCAGCAGCGTCATTGAGAAAAGTGTGTATTAGCCTTCCTGTCTTCTGTTTGTGTGTTTTTTCACCGAGCCGGCCTGTCGAGCGTTTCGTTGCCTGTACTTACTCCGCAGGTTGGACGCGCCCTGGTTGTGGATCATGCGAGGCGGCAGCGTGCTGTGGTAAGGTGGGGTGGTGCTGAATAGGATGTCGTTAGGCATGGCTTGGTCCAGCATGGAGCTGTGCGAGCTGGCGTACGACGAGCCTTTCCGGTTACTGGACACGCTCTCGTCGGACAGCGTTCGGTACAGCGAGCGTCTGGGGGACAAGCTGTCCACTGCTGATACCTGAGAAGATCAGAACAATTTGTCAACCATTACTCATAACAAAGAAAACAATCCTAGATGCACATTCCCCATGCTCTGCCTTTCCTCGGCACAGGAGGCATACATGATTGGGCAACTGGGTGGGCTAAACGGAGAACATCCGGGGGAGAGGTGGCAGGAATCATTTACAGTCTATGCGTTCAGAAAAATGCAGTTGGATTGAGCACAGCTGGAAAGCGTCTGGAAGACGGGGAATAACAGGGCTGGAGGAGGTGGTGACAGAAGCCACTGTACTGTGGCAACAAGTAGTCGCTGAGTTTAATGCTAAAGCAGAGTGCAGGTTTCAAAAAGCGAGACGGAAAGGAAAAAAATATGAGGAGGCAGTCGAGAAGTCTTTAAGATGGTGAGGAGGATACAGACAACTGGGTAAACTAACCACAGTGTCGCATACATGTGTGAGACTGACATCTGGACAATTACAAGGATAATTGTGGGTAATTTAACTTAAACAAAAAAGCAAGTATAAAACAATATTCTGCCTTGTGTTCGTTTGCACATCTGAAGTTTGCCTGCCTTCCAGTATTTTGGTATAATAGTGCAATTAGAGAGCTCATATAGCAGAGACAAGCAGGGGCTAAATCAGAATGATGCATGCTGTGATCAAAGAGAGCATGAGGTCAGAATAAACAATTATAAAAGCTGTTAGGGCTTGAAAAGTAGCATCACCCTGAGGGGATGTCTTTTGAAGAGAGAATTACATGGGATATCACTGCAAAGACACCACTGTGTTACAGCTGGCCACAGTTTTGACAGAGCATCTCCTCTTTAAACCCAGAAAACCACAAAGCCAGATCCCATCCGTTATGTTGCTGTTCAGCTAACATAAATGCAGCAGCAGTGACATCAAAAGTAGCCACAAATGATATGCGGAGCATTTGGCCAGATGGGTAAACGTCTTACCCTGCTTCCCAGCTGTAACCTACACTAGACTAGCAAACCCGCAAAGCCAACACCCAGCCATCTCCATTTCAAAGACAAATCCCACGGTGAGAATTTAACAAACATCTTGTCTGTCTTTAAAGTGAGAAATATATACAGGAATTCAAAGCAACGCACATCTACTGCCTCCAAAGACCACCTCAGAGGCTTTAGCTTGACAAGGTTGTCTCTTATTGCAAGTTTTCCCGCCCAACTTTACAAGATTAAACTCCCGAGGCTCTCGCTCATCAAAACAACTTTAAAACAGGATTTGCTGATCCTATATAAAGCATAAGAGCGCAGATTTAGAGCACCCATAAATGGAGTCACGGCAAATGAAAGCAATTCCAATTGGGCTTAATGTTTTTCTTTATAAAGACATCTATTTAGAACATCAAAACAAGCTCTCTGAACACATCCTGGCACTGGTTAACTGTACCTGCTGTGCACATTTGGAGAAAATACTGTACTAATAAAACCTGCAAGATTATTGACTATTATAGTATGCCTAAATCCACCTCAGCTGGCAACAGTCTCAGCCTGCTTTGGGGCTGTACGGGCTTTGAATTCTTTTGTAGAGCAGCAACACTCTTATCAGTCAAAGCAGCAGTGGCACATCCACCTAGATATTCCTGATTTTCCCGACATTTTTTTCCCTTCACTGCCCGCACCAAACAAAGACCCAATGACGTGCCACTCGGGAGGATGTGTTGGACAACCACCTTTTCAAATCGTTTTTCTTTCTTTCCCACAGGAGGTTCAAAAGAGGAACACTGTGGGCAAATAAGCTGTGAACGGCCTTTCCTTTACGTCAGCCACACAATGGTCTGCCTGTCCAAGGAAGGTCGTCCCAGCGGACACTGTGGCTGGCAAGGAAAATCTGTCTGCACCTGCTCAGCCACACAAAGAAAGGCCACGGGCGAGTACCGGAAATGACACATGCGTTAACCTTTACTATAGAATCTGTTTCATTAACTGGCAAATCATCAGGTCAGACTGTTTTATATAAGAATTAGAAATAAACCAACCGTGTTTCCAGCATCATATAATTACTGTGATTTGATGTCTTTATGTGCCAGCTGATGACTGAAAACATGCAGTGAAGCTGCTCCCAGAAAAGAACAGTATGTGTTTATTGGGAACATATGTGTATATGCTTTGGAGTGCCTGGCCCAGTGCCCTCCCAGATTGTTACTCTTACATTATCACACCGAATCTGACAGGAGAGCGTGACAACAGAGGTCCTGTTGCTTGGTGAATCTGACAATCAGTGCACCTTTGTACTGGCTACTTTCTTTATTCGTGGGAAGCAAAATTACATCAATATTATGTGTATCCAAACAAGCTCAACACGCATGCTTTCATTTGAGACAGGTGCTGACGCTGCCTAGTTGTCTTGCAAGCGCCAGATTTTGTAAACCATAAGCTCGATGGTTGGAGGCAAGACAAACAAATCAGAGGACTGCTGCTTCGTGTTAGGGACGAGGCCTGTCTGTGCCAGAGGACATGCCCGTCTTCTCCAGGGAACTGAAGTGCATTTGTATTAGAATTGAGCAGCATCCAAAAATAACCCATTTGTACATCTCCAGAGTCCCTTCCTGGTAGATAATGGATGGGGGGGATGGTGCAGGGAACTCGAGATGCAATTAATAGAGACTGCAGGACCCAGAAACATCAAACATCGATGTGCTCTCTGGAACTTCCTGCCTTTAATCCATGACATCCCGACTGAGTAAACTCAGCCTCTTGTTAGAAATTAAATTAACCAAACACTGTACCAGTCAGTGGTGACTGAAAGGGTCCTGTGTCCAGAGAGAGAGAGAGAGGGAGGAATCCTATCAGCAGTGCCAGCATATGTTTGTCCTGCTTTCACTGGATTCCCAGCAAGAGATTTTCCAGTCTGGTTCTGCGCTGGATTTATTCAAAAAGAGGAAGTCTTCTGAGGTTTTTGTAGAAACATCGTGTCAGTATAATAACAGAGTTGTGAAGTGACATTTATTTGCATATTACACAGGACATCATAATAATGATAAATTAGAGGTTAGGGTTTCATTAATGCCCTCACCTTGCGACTCCTGTCTTCTCCTGGTGGGCTGTCGGGCAGTATCATTTTAACGTATTCCTCTTTCGAGAGTCTCTGCAGAGATTTTCCATCCCGCTCAGTGGCCTGGAGCCGGCATGCGGCCTCTTGTGCGTACAACTGCCTGTAGATGACACAGAGGGCAAAGAAGAGCATGGCTCATCACTAGGGTCACACAAAATACATCCCAAGGGGGGCAGCCTTGGAGCCATCACAGCTTGGGTTCAGAGGTAATCCCGGCTACTTAGAGAACAGGGACAAGGATCCGTCTTATCATGCCAACATCAGGCGCTTCCCTGCTCCATGCTAGTCAGGTGAATGCAGGATAACGGGGATGGAAAAGGACCAAGGGAGGGAACTTATTTCCAAATCTTACCCTGTTCCACATCACTGTGCCAAAACCATGATTACACAGGCTGCAAATAAAATCCAGCCAAGCACTGTGAGAGGTAGAAGGGAAAACAAGGGTTTGGGACAGAAATGACTTCCAGAAACAAGTGGAAAGCACCAACTAAAGGAGTGTTCACAACAACAACAACAGAGGGAGACATGAGAACTGTTAGACAGGGCTGGAGAAGGACCCACAAGAGGTGACATGTTTTGTTAGCAGTGTGGTTGTCAGCAGGGTTTTGTCTGAGAACATTTAAATGATTCTGAGGGTGTGGAGAGATTACGAGGGAGGTTACAGGGCACGGAAGATGTGCCCGACCAGGCTGGTGAAGTCATGTGGCTGTGAGACCTCTGCTTTAAGTGAGCAGCCTGAGCTTGACACACTGAGTGCTGTTGGCAGGCTGTTAGGTGGCCGCAGGGAGCTTCGCTAGATGGTTAGACGATGGGACAGCCTAGTTATGACGGCTACCTCCAGACACTGTTGCTGAGAGCCGCACCGTATTAAGCTTTTGCCAACACGGAGAACACTTCCTAAATATATGTACTGTGTTTGCTCTATTCTGTTTGGCAGAATAATAAGTGCAGTTAACTGAATTTTGTACACTCGTTGTTTGATGCCAAAAACTGCAGCAAAAAGTCCTGTTTTCCCACTCTACCTTGACCTGTCCATTTGCGCCCAAAGTAATTGAGCCATAATTATGAGAAAACTGGAACAACATTAAAGCCCTCATCTTTGGAGTTAAATATTACTCTGCTGTGCACTGGCATCTGTTAAATGCCTACAGTGTATAATTAACTTCTCAAGGGGCAGTGAAAAAGAAAGAAGGTACGTTTTCATCCACCTGTTTTTAATACAAAGTCTGAGAGCTTGTGAAAAAGATGATAAAATTATTTTAGACTTAGTCCAGTTAGAAACAGCAGAGAGATCCAAAAGAGAAGGAAGTATAAGTGTTGATAGTTGTTTGTTGCTTAATATTGTGATGCCTTCGTTTCTCCTATCATGGACAAGCCATAGATACAGTGGTGCACACGCTTTTTTGTTTTTTTTCTTTTGGGCTAAAGACTCTAACAGTGGAGAAAAACATAATAATGTATCCAGCCATTCAACCATTCAATTCATTGTCTGTCATGCCAATGTGAGGTTGTCATGGGGTACACAGGGTACACAACCTGGGCAGGGCGCTAGTCTGTCGCTCTGCTAACAGAGAGAGAATGACAATTTTTACACCTACAGCTATTTAAGAGTTTGCTCTGGATTTGAACGCAGGGCCTCATTCTTGATGTGAGGTGACGCTGCTAACCGCCACACCACCATGCCTTCCAGTATCTAGACTGACTCAAATATTTCTCCACGCTCATAAGTTAGCTGGCTAATACGCCGAGCTAAAATGTAGCAGAAATGGTTCACACAGTTCATAGTTTAATCGCAGATAGAAAAGTGTTTCTATTGCCCTTCAGATAATGTGAGGTGGAGTCATAGCTATAATATGCATGTATAAAGCTGGGAATACACTGTCCCAGACGAAACATAGCCAAAGGGAAGCAATTATGATGATAGCTTTGGTTGTGGTTATTAAAATTAAACTTCTAATAAAGATTTAAGCAGAGAGACTGAGAAGATATTAGATGGACAGTACACAGCAGTATGAATCTGTAGTGGAAATGTCACAGTCACTCATGCACAGCTGGTTGCTGTCCACTTTGAGCATGGTCCACAAGGCAGAACCAGCACTTGACACCAGAGGAGTGGGGGTACAAAGAGGGCGGGGCAGTGTGCGGGGTAAGCAGGCGGTGTCAGATCAGGACCACAGGGTTCACTCTTAACTGTGTACCTTGAACGCTCAGACAGCATTGTGAGAAGGAAGGTTAACAAGCTTTCCGCTCCTCTGAAACAAGAAGCAGAAGCAAGAAAGAAAGAGCCCACAGTTAGAAGCACTGTTACACATCCAGCCTTACACACAGCGTTAGAACAAATGAGAAAACTTTTTAGAATTGGGGGAAAGAGAAACTTCATTATGTTAGGACAATATCTGTGAGTAATATTAGGCCATTTATCACGAGGCGCTGTTATGTAAGATGAAATAAAACGGTAGGAATATATAAACAAACAATGGGGTGGGTAACTGAATTACGGAGCTTTTTCATAAGTCGGCAGAAGATGACTTCAGTGCATGCGATCAATCACACAACCGTAAGTAGCAAATTTCACAGCCTAAATGAAATTACTTGGGAGCTGGAGCACGGGGCTCCTTCCAGGGCAAAATCTCACACTCTCTCTTCCAAAACACGCCCCGCTCGCAAACATCCTCCAAATCAGTGCACACAGACAGACACACACACAGCTACACTCACACCGTAAAAGCTGTTTAACTCTCACCATCAATGGCTCTCTGTTCTCTACAGCAAAACCATTTAATCACCCGACAGATACAGTCAGTCATCACTGCTCATACAGACTGAGGATTGCATACATTCCTCTTTCTGTGCGATACAGGCTATTCTGCAGAGGGGGGTCCTCAGACTACATGTGCGACAGCGTGCGTGTTCCTGTGTGTGTCTTGATGCTTGGCTCCCAGCAGAGATGGTCGAGCCTGGCGATCCACAGGGACGCGGCTTCACGGGAGCGATCAATAACCGTAAGTGACATGTGCCAAGTGTATTATGTCCGCAGCTTCACTGAGCTTATTTATTTTGTGGCTGTCTGCTTCAATCAAGGCCACTCTGTGTAGGCTGATCGCGGGGTTGGGTTTGAGGTGGAGATGCAGCAGTAGGACAGAGAAAAATGTGCTGACAAGAGCGCGATTAAAGGGTGTTTTATTTAAATGTCCCTACTAGCTAGTGATAAAATCGCTGTGAAGCACGTGAGCTGAAACCTCTCTTTGTTTTTGTAGTTTTTTTGCACATTTGCTGATGTTCTCACACATGCTCTTCTTGCTTTCACTCTCACATACACTCACCCACACTCTGAAATGTTGGGAGGTTCCTCAGTGCTGTGGGCGGCATCATCATCATCATCATCATCATCAGTCGCCTTCCCGCCCACTGTGAATTTGCAACTGGACTGTGTGCGTGCCTGTCCACAAGCCTCTGAGCCGGACCCAAGCCCGGACCCCTGTAACAGCTCTGGCCCTGAGCTGTTGGTCTGGGGGATGGTGTACACCTTGGAGGAGTCAGCAGACATACAGTATCTGGCACCACGGGCCAGGGGACTGCCAGAGTGGTGTGAGCCACTGATCAAACAGCAGAAAGGAAAAAAAGAAACAGAAAACAAAAAAAAAAAAGGCATAACATAACTCAAAAGTGACCACAAAATGAATGAATTTAAAAACAGAGAAACAAAAAAAGGCAAAATCATAACAAAAACATAAACAAGCATTAGCAATAGAAATGGTGCTAGCAACATGTCAGACGTAAAGAAACGACCTATTAGGATGACTTCTTTAAACGGAAAATGGTTTACGAATGGTCTCCATGCTGCCGGGGTCGCTACGCTTTTCCTTATTCTCTGTCATTTGTATCCTGTTACAAGGGTGAACACATGTAGGCTCAAACTGTCTGTTTCTGTGGGGCAACAAAGAAAGGAAGAAAGCTGGCTTTTACAGAGGGAGGAGTTCAAACAGCTCAGACAGAGGATCAATTTAAAAGGCACTAAGGCCCGATATAAGATAAGTACTGATTATAAATATTTTGAATCATATGAATCACGCAAAGCTACTTGCGTAGTTTTCTAAAAAATATGGAGCTGCTCATGAGAGCAATAAGTCCCCCTTTAATCTAAAAACATCAAACCGCCCTTCAACCTACACTGGAAGAGAATTCGGTTGCAGTTTGTCATGTGAATATTCCCCCTGAACTTTGACCTTTCAGTATTTAGTCAAATATCAACTGACAAAACACATTAAGGGGTCAGTGCACTCTAATCACATGGAGGCATTTTCTGCTTATTTACAATACTGTGCCTTTGGCTGATTTACAGGCTTACGAGCAAAACACAAAATAAAATAACTGCATGCCACGAGGAAAATACTATTATTTTTGTTAACTGGGGAAGGTGACCCTTGAAGTTATGATCAAAGGGTCAAATACACACAGCTGTACAGCATTCATCTCGACTGAATGGTGTTTTTATATCACTTTACTTTCTGTGATTCCTCAAATGTGTAAATGCTTCGCCTCTATCCAAATAATATGCAAGATGATAAAGGATGGCGATGTCACACTCTGCAGTGATGTGAAAATGAGCCATGCATCAGGTAATGAACGCTGCCTTGCTTTGCTTTCTTTGCTCCTTTATCTTCCATTGGCCTTTCACATTTAAGCACTCCCCCTCTCCATACACAGTCTCACATCTGCTACAGCGCCCTTCATTATTTCCATAATTAATATGAAAGTGGATAGTTTGCGTGTGTGTCTGTTTTTTTTGTTTTTGCCTAATTAGGATTCATCTATTAGCTGCAGAGATGGATCTCAGATTTAGGTCCATAAAAGATGTTAGGGTTTTGCTACTCAAACATTCTTCTAAAACACCCTAAAGACATGAGAGCTGGCTTTGGCTGGAGGCACAACACACTGTGTTTCCATATTCATGCCCATCTGTGCCACACCTTGCAAACGTGCTCCTGCTGCTTCACTGTTTGCTCAGATGACACTCGGGTGTCAAAGACCATTACATAAAAGGTGGGAAGCATCAGAGCAGTCAAGGTGATGGCATGGGCTCTTTTCTCATTTCTAAGTGATATCCTGGCACGGTTACTTCTTTATACCCCCCAAACAGGTCAATGATCTCAACAGACTGGGGGACCATAATCCTATATGACATCAACAAATGGTCACCCGTGCTGCTTCATACAGACAGACTGAGTGGCTTCAGGGCCGACCTTCAGTGACACCATTTCTCTTTCCCAGATGGTCCCAGGTGAAGTAAGGAGGACTTAAAGGATAGTGTGATGAGCCTCCTGATGTTGCCTCGGCCTGACAGCAACACTGACCAGGAGCTTTCAGCACAACTGGATGATCCAGACTATATGTCAGCAGAGAGGGGGCACGGCTGGGTGAAAAGGTCAGTTAACAGCCAGAAACCTTCCTTTTGTGCACGTGTTTGTCTCTGCATGTGTTCAACAGATAGTGGGCCTGAAAACATCTACGTGGTGGAATATAGTGAATTTTGCCGAGAGCCATTTAAAAAAAAGGGGGTGTTTGAAAGTTCACAGGAGGCAAATCAATGACCCCAAAAGATGGAATTGAGCCACACCAGGAAAAACTATTTGACCACAACAAAGAAAAACAGAGTGCTGTAATTGACTGTAAACTTTTTACCCCTTGAAAGCCAACTAGGAGCTTCTGGACTGAGAGGTTTTAGGTCATATTTCAGGCCTGCTTATAGAACAAAATGACTGTTTGCATCAGGAGTTACTGAGGGTAGTCTCTGCTTATGTAGCTACTATTGGGAAAACCCAGAAACTACTCTAATGGTCATAAAACCACATCTTTATTGGTATACACGGCGGTGTGAAAAGGTCATCAAATGTCGTCTTTATGGGGAAAAGCGTTAAAGCCTCCTAGGAAGGTGTTCATGCTCCAGAACAACTTCAGCACTGCGGAGCATGAATCCTTGAAGTCTTTGAGACGCTCTGTGTTTTTCATGATGGATTTAGAAAGCACATTTTAAGACAAGCATCCAAAAATCTCACTTAAATGTTAAATTTGTTTGAGATCTAATAGCAGTTAAGGCAAGGTTCAGCGCTGCATACTCAACAACAACTTCCATTTAAAGTTATCCTTTAATTTGTCACACACTCAGCCAAAATCAATTGTTTTGTACAAACGAGGACAAAAATGCTGTACCTGGAATGGGACGAGATCTCGCTCAGGTCCCCGATACTGCCCTCTGTCACATGGCTAGACAAAATGGCAGAAGCATAGCCCTGCGGTAGGTACATTTTCCCATGATCCTCTTCCGACGCCCCATCCTCGTGGTGCTCCGACACCCACGGGTGTCCCTGCTCCCCGACTCTTCCCTGCAGCAACACTCGGGCCCCGGGGGCCACGCAGGGATTCGTGTCTATGCCGCTGTCAGTGGATGCGCCTTTGATGTACGTGAGGCCGAGCATCTCGGGGTCCATCAGGTCCCCAGAGCCAAAGTGCTTATCGTCACTGTTGCTGGAGGCGTTGCTTGAAAGAGTGTTGCTACTTGAGTGGCTTGAGTTTTTATCACCCGCCTGGCACAGAGAGAGAGAGGGAGAGAGCGAGAGGGGTGAAGGAGAAAGAAACACAGTAAATCAAACGAGGTCAAACAGCAGCTGCAAATAATTCTTACGGATGCTTTAACATTCTTGCCGTACCAGGCAAGGAGGGGGTTTACCCATCAGGCTTCCTCACACGGTCATGTGTCCCTGACTGAGGCAACAGCTTGTTTTCTTGAGGCCCATTACACTGTCAAGTAGTTGACAGTAATATGTAGGCAGGAATAAAAACAGACTATGCTGAATGTCACATACTTTGCATGCAAACTCTGAAATTGTGATGCTTATTTGAGGAATCCCTCAAGCTCAAATACATTTAAGGTCACACCAACTTATTCCAATGTGCATCATCAGTTTCAAATCATGGGGATCAACAGCTACGCCTTATTTTAGAACTTAAGCCATGAATTACAAAGGTTTGTTCTGCGATGTCATCTTTACTATGATTTACTGCTAAATTATTGATGCGGTTTTAGTCACAGCATAAAAAAAAAAGTTGAAAAAGCAGGCTCAGTACATTAGAGATGTACAGTGCCAAGAAAATGGTTTAATTTTTTATCCACTTCCAACAGTGGTGGAAAACACCAAAACATGTTGTTTAGGTGCATTAGCCAGCCTCCAGCATCTGAGGAGAAAGAAAAAAGGAAGGCAGTGCTGGGCAAAATAACCATAAATCAGAGGGAGTGGGGAGAATATAGAGAAAGGAGAAACGAGGGGCTAAAACACTTAATATATTCAACCTTCAAGGAAAAAGTGTCCTAGAAACGCGTGAAAGAACCTGAAACAGTGATGAGATGAGATTTCCGTTAGCATGCTGATGAAGGGAAAGCGATAACTGCAAAGAGCGTCTAGAGGGGACAACATGAACATCTGACTGAATGCCCCAATTGAACTGATTGCAAAGCCCATAAACAAGGGCAATCTGAGCTCAGCCTGAAACAGTTGGGGGATATAGCAGGTCTGACACAGACTCTGTAATGCCAGCACAGCACACTTCAAGGCCGAATCAGACCAAGTTTTCAAAATACGAAGACCTTCCCAAAAGTCGCAAATAGACTTCCAAACGTTATTAAAGTCACCTGGTCGGCTTCAATAAAGTGAAAGTGGATCAGACATTTACCCTGGACAGCTTGTTGGGCGAGTCCTTTCCTCCTTCTCTTTGCTTCAGAGGGTTCAGGATCTTGGTGGAGGGGATGTGCCATTTGGCCTCTGTGGAGCCAGAAGTTACTGTTACTATAGAAGCAGATGGTATGATTCACAGACTGTATGTAAAAGATGGCAGCAAGATATGTGGACAACAGTTTGTGAGATTTGCTTTGGTTTCAGGAGTGTTAAGCTCTTGCTATACAGACATGCATGTTAACAATGACTACTTCAGACTAACCTGCAGACCTAGTCCTCTCCAGGGTGGGCTCTCTGTGGATCTCTCCATCCCCTCCCTGGATGTCCCCTACCAGCTCATGCAGGATAGGGGAGGGACACCTGATGGGGGGAGAAAAAAAAGAAAAAGGAGAAAAAGAGGGCAGGAGGGGGAAAATGGGCCATAAATTCGTTTTTCTATAGAGTGTGCTCTCTATTCAATTAAGAGAAAGGCTTCAATAGATTCACCACAGATGTACAGCAATTAGCTCAACATCATTTAAGGTCAAAACACTTGAGCTCATAATAGAATAAAGAAGCTGCCAGACAACGCTGACAAAAGACCTTTTTTCATTGGACTCAGCTTGCCGGGTGCTTTTTACCTCTTGACAAAAGGGTAAGAGCAGCAATTTTTTTCCAATGCGCGTCTTAGTTAAACCTTTTAGAGCTAATAAAGTTTACAGCAGATGAACAGAGGCCTCATTGTCTCCTGATCTCCGACAAAGCCCGGCAGATCAGTCGACATGTCTGCCGTTCTGCATCGGGGCAGCTCTGACAGGGCGCAGTGGTCCTCGGGTGTTCAATGCAGATCTGAGGCCTTTGACAGAAAAGGCAGCAGTGGGGAGCTAAGCCTCTTGTCATGGTCTGTAACCACTTACAGACAGACGTCGGTCTCTCATGGATTCTGCTCATGTACAAGAATCAGCCTGACAGATGTTACGCCTGCGCAGTCCACAGTCTGGGCTGCTCCGCAACATCGTTATATAATTGACGAAATGATAAAGAGCAACATGTTGAAAAGAACATATAATAAGAGCAATAATTAAGTTGACAGATGATACAAAGCCAAATACTCTGACTCTCAATAATTTCTCTCTTTTGATTGTTCATTAAACCCTTTTTTAAATTAAATCGTTCTCCAAAATTCTGTCATAGTTTGTTAGATCGCCACATCAGTCAGTCAGATTCCTTAAAAATGATTTCCAATTACATTTAAGTGCCACCTATTCTTTAATTTACTGAATAGCATGAGAAGTACGTGCCCAAAGTAAGAAAAACACTTCACTTAGGTGGGATTTTCAACAGCCTTTAACCGCATGCTTCAAATTAAATTAAAAAATTAAAAAGTGCCCATTTACATTCGAGGTAGCTTTTCTGTTCGTCTTTGAAAGACATCTTGAAAGTAAAGCTTTGAGATGACTTCACGGAAACTATAATAATGCATGTTAAATAAAACTCATCTTCCATCTTCTCTCTATTATGCTCTGGATGTGGTATTAGACCATGACAGGCGTAATTTTATTGTTTTGTTAGATTACTTCCTAGAAGAAGAAGAAAAAAAGCATGACGACTGGCCAAAAGTGCACTGATGATTTGGTCATTTCATGTGGAAAAATTGCTGTCATTTTGCAAAATTGCAAGTTCTCAGAAATAGTGCTGGGACTGATTGGAGCTGCATTCATTACTGTAAAACCGCATAATCCTGGAGGGACTACTTAAAGGTTATTTCCAAAAAACTAAAAAAAAATTCACACTGCTGTGGTCCTGTACCCATCATATCCAGGCTGCTGGGACCATGTGCTGCTGCCACAGGGCCCTGGATCACTGGAGGACGACTGGTTGCTGGGGGAACTGCGGTAGTGCTGGTCTCCCTTGTTACATGAGGTGACCTGGGGATTCTCCATATCCTGAACAATTCTGCAGAAAAAAGAGAGACAACAGACAGAAGTGGTTAAAAATGATTACAGATAGCCATTAATATATATACAGTTGTAGTTCTGACTAATACCAACAGCTTATTTATTTATAAAGTGCGGATAATATCCTAAAATTGCACTTTAAAACAATAAAAATAAAAAGTCCACAATGTATAGGGACATAAATAAAGGAGGGTATTATCAAATGATTGTTAAATGATCATCATCAAATCATTTGGAAGCCGACCAGGTGACTTCAATTTGGAAGGACTGTGAATCTTAAGGGCATCATTAAAGGCTTTCAAAAAAAAAAAAAAAGAAAAGTCAATGTGAGAAAATGTTAGAAGAGGCAAAGGTGTCTCATTTTCAAAGGCAGAGAAAGAGGTTAGTTATGGCATTAACCTCATTCAGCAATCCAGATGGTGATTCTCTGTGCCATTCCTCATGCTTAGCTTATTAGTAAAGTTTAGCCCTTTCACCCAGTTTGACCATCACAGCCTCTGAGCTAATACCTTGAGATAAGATGCTTTGCTTGCTTTCGTCTAGCCAGGAAAAACTTGTGGACGATGGAGTGAAAAATACACACTGTATGTGACTTATGTCTGCTGCCTTCCCTTTAACCAGCACGCCAAATGAGGTAAGATGAGCGGACGGAAATAAGACTGCAATAACACAGGCAGTATGGCTTTCACATTAAAGCGTAAGCCAAGTCTTGTCAGATATCCTATACTCCTTATATCTGCTTCTTTCGTCCTTATACATTAGTTTGGAACCAGGTCTGAAATGACTAAATCTTTATTAAATGCAAAGCCAAGAGAGACTGTCACCTGGAGCAGGCATTCAAAGATTGGAAATTTGCAGATAAGCGACTGAAAATGATCCAGTAGAGCTCGGATTCAAAAATGCAAGTATAAACATTCACAAGGCGACACAATTTAAACATCAACACTTTCTGCTTCCTCATTCGGTTTCCCTTTTTTCCCCCCTCCACAGGGAAATAAACTGTCAGTATCTCAGTTGTGCCACACATCATCAAACACTCTGGCCAGATCGCTATGTTTTCTCTCCGGCTGTGTTAGTCAAGTGTCCAGCCAAGTCCAGGCACTTTAATTTGAGACAGAAGCGGCTGCTTTTCGCTCTCCTTTTTTTTCTTCTCCTCATGTTAAGGGAAAAAAAGTTTTGAGGGGAGAGAGATCAGAGGGTTGGTCTCATTTGGCTATGAAGCAGTCGTCATATTTTATGGTTGCAAGTCTAAATCCAGCTATGCGTGTGGATGAAATGGCGCTTTATCTGAGCTATAAAGATTCTCGCGCGGCCTTGCGAGACAAATGGGTCCATGCCCCCTCAAAGCCTCGTGAGATGAGTAATTTAGTGAGACCACCTGTCGGGCTCCATTTTTGTTCATTTAAATTTAACGGGAAGGTTAGTGGTTCGGTTTTTGTTTAGACCTCAATCAGAGTGTGTGGATTTTTAAAAAAGGTGCTTTTAATAAAAATAAAATTAGTTGAGCAGCACAAACAAATGTCCGGCTAACTCATGCTGATTTATTCCTACAGATCCTGCGACTTTATGACACAGTCTCGTCTTCCTCCCTTCCCCTCCTCCTTCTCTACTCCCACTCCCTCTGGGGCGCTTCATATCGCGGTCTAGGGAAGAGCACTCTCTTTGTTTCTGCAGTAATTGGATGAGATGAGCGGAGCTGTGTCAGTGTCCCCATCACCTCCTCCTCAGCAGGGTGCAGGAAAAGGGAGGGAGTGGGGGAGTTGGAGAGTGAGAGAAAGGAGGAGGGGAGTGAGAACGGAGAGCTCCGACTGCTTGGGACTCGAGGCAGAGAATGGCGGCCATTATCCCAGTATAGTCAAAACAGGCTATACTGGACGGGCGGGTGGGTGGCGGGGAGTCGGTGTGACACACTGGAAAGGTTATCGTGACTGTAGGGGTTTCATTAGAGTGAACAAATCACTGCTTTACATGGCTCAATGGAGATGTCCAAAAGAGACAGAGCCGAGGACGGGAACAAAGTCTGAGCGCAGCCTTATCATCCAAAGGGAGATGAAAGCGGAGCCGTGAATTCATTTAACTAAAATGCGCCATTTATATGTATGCAAATAACCGAGCACAATAACAGCTCCTCAAAGTGTAACTGCAGCTCTTTTCTAAATAAGAAAGGCTGAGAGTTCAAAGATTTCATCTGAAAGGACGCCGTCTTTACACTGTCGTGTTTGATGACGAGCCTCCGTTTCTGAAAAACCTTGAGCAGAAAGTTTGTGTGTCAAAAAAAACAAATTAAAAAATGTCTCACAGGATCATTTCTTTTCTTAATTTGTTTAGTTAATGTTTTTTTTCCTTTGCCTTTTTGCACCACTGTGCCCACATTTTTTACTTGATGACATGTGTGCAATGCTTACACATGAAATATATGATACAGCCATCAGTGGATAACCACATTCACCACCGAGTGGAGAAGCTATTTTCTTTCAGCGTGGATAACATTTAAACTCCTTTATTTGTATGTGACTCAATATTAAGCAGTGAACAGTGTATTCTGTCATTGTGCTTTTGTAATGCAGCCTCTCTACCGTACAGTTATTCGATCGCCCGTATTCAAGCGTTGCTTTCAACCCTTAACAAGTGCCAAATTGGGCATAGGCAAACAACTGAAGAAAGCTGAAGTGGAGAAAAGTGAGCACCTGGAACCATCTGGCAACTTCCTGTCAAAGGAGGTGCTTCGCGGGATAGCTGCTTGGTGCTGCTGGAGGATCTGCTGACACTGCAAGCGGTCGGGGCCCTGAGTGGGCGAGCCTCGGGATAGCGCTCCGGCAGCCGTGGGCACCCGATGCCAGGTGGTATTTCTCCTGAAGGGCGTCTTGTACTCGCACGGTGTACCCTCGCTGTCCACCTTGTACTCCACCATAGGTATGCGGTAGAGCTCGGAGCAGCCCCTGAGAGGAGAGGGGCGAGAGGGAACCAAGGGTCAAAGTTCATCAAGGAACAGAAAATGACAGGAGATGACGTTTTAAGTTATGCGAATGATTAATTAGCAGGATTGAACCTATTAATTTGACCTATAACCTCACATCACAATATGTAAAATATTTTAATATTTTTCAGCCATGAAACTGAAAATTTCATGGCTGAAAAAGTGTTCTCACGTTGCCTCTCCAGGACCCTGCTGAAGCACACAATTACCCTGAGCCAGATCTTTAGACTTATATAGTGTTTATTTCTGCACTACTGACAACAACAGACCCACAAACATGTTCACACACATTTGAAAGCGGAGCACTAACATCACTTAAAATAGTTTCCCACCATTTCCGATCATTTTCACAAAGCTAAAAATCTGAGCTCGCCCCTCGGCCAGTAATGGGTATTCCCCAAATTGCTACACACTGGTAGCTTTTCGGTGCACCGTCTCCATCCACTTACTGCTAACATCAGTGAAGATCTCTGGGATGGACAAGGCCTGTGATGCCATTTCATGCAACATTAATCACCGAGGCAGCGACTTGGTGCGTATGTTTGGAAAGAAGGGGAGGAATGGGGGTTAACCGGGTGGTGGGTCAGGGTTAAAAAGTGTGAGCACTCTGCTCACTCTCCAAAGGCATTTCAAGCATGACCCTAATGATTACACTTGCCAACCGCCCCCTCCCCACCCCCTTTAAAGTCCATTTTCCAGCATCCACTGGAGAGTGGAAAGCTCTGTATACTTTTGCTGTGGTCATAAATGTATACATAGAAGGGTTTGAGGAGGGTGCACTGAAGGAAGGAGGGGGGAGTAGTAATCCTTCTCAGAAGGACCCTTTCATCAGTCTGGGCCATGGGTGGCTGGGCTGTTTACACCAGACTCCCACTGGAGCTGCGGGTGTTATAAGATATAACTAGAAGATCATCCTTTGCTTCTTCCTCTGTGTCCTCTCACATCTGGCTGATGTCACCGCCAGCTGGCCTCATTCATGATGAAGAACTACATCCTGCACATCTTACAGTGCACATACTTAATTGTTTTTACAATATGCATGCTGCATGCATCACTGGTTTGGTATATAGGACAGTGAGAGTATTGAGCGACAGTACAGCATAAGTGAAGCTGTTGTATGCGTAAAAAAGCTTAGAGATGAGAACATTACCTCTTTACACTCAATTTGCCACCCGAGGTCTTTCAATTATTGTTCCAGACACAAAAAAAGACCCCAAAAAATAAAAAAGACTGCTGGTCAATTGTTTTTTAACATGGTTGGCACTAGCTTGATTAACTGTGTGTGTGGGTCTGTGTGTGTGAGTGTGACAGAGAGAGACCGCATGTGTGTGGTCATACTAGGTTGCCACACATCATTACTCTACAAAGAAAAGAGCTATCCCCAGCTAACAGCTTGTCAACAGTGAAGGTCTCAGCTTTATGCTCTTGCTGTGCTTTTTGCTCCAGAATGACCAAGAAGTGACAAAGTGATTTGCCCATATGATCCAAATAATCTCCATCAGCAGTACAACTGCAGACTTAATGGGAACAGCCTTCATATTCATGTATAAGGAATGTGCCTCTTGTATAAAGGCGACCCGAGACTGAGTGTATAAATCATAAGGAAACGGCAGGAAACGGGTGTTTGGTCAACAGTTAGAAAACTTTAGCTGGAAGCTGGTGTTGCAGGAGAAGCTGTCGGACATGTCCAGCCAGGCATGAGCAGAGGAGGAAGCGAGTGACTGGTGAGAAAAATAACAACCGTCTTTCTCCTCTGATTCCACAAAGAACTGCTGCACCTCTCTCCCAGTTTAATGTGAGTGGCTATAAATTATGCCACAATGGCCTACATAAGCTTAGAGAAAACTACACAGCTGGAGACAATGCACAACTAAAAATAAAGCTCCAGGCGGAGGGGGGGTACTTTGACCACAAAATCTACAATCTACAATCTAAAATCAACTTTACTAAAATACCATCACAGGTCATTAAAAATGTAATTTTAAAAAAAACTGTGCTAAGCTTTGTTAGTGGGCGATTGGTGGAGAACATTCAGCTCCTTCAGCCATTCGGCTCTTAACGAATCACAATAGATCAGTGTGACAACAGGACCTTAGACCTCAGTCAGAGAGCTGTCAGTCCAATGACAGGGCCAGCAAGTGAGGGGGACATGCTAATCCATTCCCACAGTCAGAGTCCTTGTCACGGCAAAGAGTCACAGAGGTCGTGACCTCCACCAGTGCTGTGCAGACTGTTGTCAAAGGGTTCATTAAATGAGGTGTGC